TCAGGTTTGTAGAAAGATCTGTCTTGTCTGTACATGGCTCCAGTCTCCAGATTTTAGTATCCACAGATGGGGCCATGTTGAGCATTAAATATATTGATATGGAGAACCTGCAAGGACTCACAGAGTTCATTTTTCCTGTATCCCCTTCTCCACACTATTTCCTCCTTTTTCTCCTCCTCGCACCCTCTATATACTCTTCTGTTTTCCTGGTTCTTTCTCTCCTTCCTACTCATTAACCATCATTTCCTTTATCTGTCCTCAATCTTCAGCTTTATGTATTATTTATTTACATTTATAACCTACCTTTCTCCCCAATGGGACCCTAAACAGCTTACATCGTTTTCCTCTCCTCCAATCCTTACAATCCTGTGAGGTTGATTAGGCTGAGAATGATTGGCAAAAGGCCACCTAGGCTACCATGGTAGAGTGGAGATTTGAACCTGGATCTCTCAGATCCTAGTTGGACACTCTAATTTCTACAACACACTGGCTCTCAGGCTCCCTCCTGCCTTCCTCCTGACAGCCTCTCTCCGGGGAAAGTCTGGCTAAGTTGGAAAAGTTGTATCCTAGCAAGTTGCTCAGGTGAGTTCTTTGACGGCTACTGCCAGGCACAGCCAAGTTATGCAAGATGTGCAGGGGTTGCTGCTGCAAATTGTATGACATTGCATCATCTGGTAGCAAGTTGCTCGGTGGTTGCTGCTGTCCCTGGCCCTGATGTATCAGGAGGAAGAGGATCAGGGTGAGCTGAGAAGCCAAAATAGGCCAGGACAGGGCCCTTTCCTGTTGCCTTTCACTAACAGAAACCAAGGCTTGATGGCTAGTAGAGCTGTTGTTGTTGCCTAGCAATCCCCACAATGGCCACAGAAGGTATTCATTCTTAAAGATACAGGTGCTGCTTCTATTATTTTGAGGTTTTTAAACCCCTTGTGTTTTGTTTTTAGAAATTTCAGATTTTTCTGCAAAGCAAGAGCTTTTTTCAGGTTTTTAGAAAGATCTGGCTTGTCTGTTCATGGCTCCAGTCTCTGAATTTAGATATCCACAGTTGGGCCCATGTTGAGAATCTCTCCTTATATATAATTCTCTTTTGGTGTGACTCTTTTCTGAACATTCCACACGCTCCCACAGCCTTTGGCTCCCTGACCTGTCACTCAGAAGCTGCCCCTGTCCACTGGCTGTGTTGCCTGAGTCTCGCCTCCAATATGCTGTTCCTCTCCCCCAAATAGTCAGTCGAAACACAGAGGTCATTTGCATATGCGGCCTGATTGGCCTTTGCCTCTAACATTCTAAACAGTCATTGAATGTGTTCTGAGGTAAAATACATATCCCAATTTTCCCTTAAACGGTCACTGGAGTTGCCAAAATACATATCCCAGTCTTCCCTTAAATGGTCACTGGAGTTGCCAATCTCCCTGTAGGGACTGGAGATCTCCCAGAAATCACCGTGTTCCCTAGCCACAGCACATCATTTCCCCTACAGAAAATTTCCCAGCTATTACAATGGCTGCTTTGGGCAGTGGACTCTATGGCATTATACCCTGCTGAAGTCCCTCCACACCTCCCCAGGCTCTACCCCTCAAATCTACAGATCTGGCCCTCCCCTTATATTGCCAGCCTCCAGGCAGCACCTGGAGATCTCCAAGATCCGTTCTCCTGGAGAGAATGGCTGCTTTGAGCAATGGACTCTATGGAATTATACCCTGCTGAGGTCCCTTCACACCCCAAACCCTGCCCTCCCCAGGCTCTATCCCTCAAATCTACAGATATTTCCCAACCCAGAGTTGGCAACCCTTTAACTGGCTAACTGGCTATGGAACCGCTTTCTAGATCCTTGGAACCCAGAAGACATGGCATAGGAGGAGGTGCTTTTCTACCTTAGCTGCCACTGCATAAACCCAAATCAACATAAGTCAAGGGTGGAGGGAACCATACCTGTTACCATGAGGCTGTCCTCCCATACTACCCACCTGGGGCAGCAAAATGACTTGAGACAGCCCTGCCTTATAGCTAAGCAGAAGGAAATAAACATGGCTCGCCTCCTTCTATTTTCCCCTTCCCTCTGCCACCCTACCAGCCACAGCCAGGACACTCACTTGGAGCTTCCTTCTAGATCTCGTTGTATTTCTTTCCACAACGGGCCTT